GGTATGTGTAGATACTGAATTTTCTGGAGACGCTGTGGTGGAGTGTGGTAAATTGAGTCTGAGCCTGTAATTATAATGTGTTATGCCCATTTACTGATAGCTTCTAGCCCCTCAGTAATTGTGGCACAAGCTCAGCCAGGTTCACAAAAAACCCCAAAAAGGAAGTCTTCATTATTTTATGACTGCTTGGCTCCACCTGCCGCAGAATAGTTACAGGATCAATTTTAAGATTTACTTCATGACTCCTTCTTCAGCCATTCATGTCTGGCATTTCAGACCAAAATTTTTTTAAATGAGACATTTTGACAGGAAAATTGTTGCAAGTATGAATTCAAAATACCTCAAATTATTAGACTAATTAAAAAATCTAAAATCTTAATACTATATACTCTCAGGTAGTTCTACAGAAAACATTATTTAGGACTGATTGGTTTTGATGATCAGGCCTGTGTCCTGCAGAAACTTGGTACAGAATCCTACTTTGATTATCACGTAAATCCATATATTTATTAAATATTTTATTTACTTTGGACACCAATGCTATTTTCAATAGAAAGAATTGTGTAAAGGAGAGAATTTTTGAGGTACCATTTCAATATATATCAAATCATTGTTCCACAGCTAATTCTTAATCACCGTTAATAATTTTGAATGGTTCTGCTGTTCCTATGATTATGCCTGTAAGACATGCTGGACTTCCAAGTAACATTGACTGTATTCTTTTCTTCCCTTGCTATACATTTTGATAGTTTCAAAGACAGCATGGAGAAATCATCGTCTTATTCTGACTGGCTAATAAATAATAGCATTGCTGAACTCGTCGCCTCCACAGGTCTCCCAGTGAACATCAGTGATGCCTATCAGGATCCTCGCTTTGATGCTGAAGTAAGAGATTTTGAGACGTGTAAATGTGCTTCTTTTTCTGACATTGCAACAAATAGAAGAATTTTATCATTATATCCAAGTGAATATTTATTTTGAATTATTTTATCTATCCATTATGTGTTCCTTCCGGTCTTCTGGTGTTGACATGACTTTAGACAGTAAACACAGATCACTGAATGACTTTAGGCAGTTACTTTGTCCATTATTCTTTTTTTGTCCTATTTATAAGTGATAACTTCCTCTACCAAGTGCTTTGATATTTATGCAAGCTGATTTTTATTGCTGAAAATGTGTTGGTGTTCAGTATTAGCAGCACCATTGTTGTTAGCCATTGTGGTGACTGGGGCTGTACACACACAGAGTGTAAACAACTGATATCAAGACAGACAAATGTCATTTGTGATCTAACTCAGCCAACTAACCTTTTAATTTGCTCGGATACACACTGGATTAGTTATTTCTTCAAGGTACATATCACTCCCAATAAAAGTTGTTTATGTATCTTAATGTATTCATTCCAGCCTCAGTTAGAAAGGTGTAGCTACAGCTAAAAATGTATATGTATACTTAGCATCTAAATAAATGTTAGAGGCATACAGAAGGGCAACATCTTCACTGAATTCTATGCAGTGAAACAGTATTACTGTGGGGGACTTGGCCAGCTGTTGGGCAGCACATTAATCAGTGGACAACCTTGGTCAGGAAGCTTTCTAAAATATATTACTACAATAAGTGCACTTGGAAGTGTTTCATGTTGAGAGTTTGCTTGGTCCCCATTTTACTCCATGTGTCATTAAAGTGATTATCTCTCAAACCAGGAGAATTTGTTGAAACAAGAAAATTAAAAGGGGTGTGCTGTCAGAGCTGCATTGATGCTATTCTGTTCAGACTTTTAATAAGTACAATTAATGCTTTGGGTCTTTAGATATGCTAATATAAAGCATGCCAATCCTTGATGTGTTTGCAGTTGTACTTTTGTTATGCCATGAATAATTCAGCTGTCTCTTATTTGTTTCGCAGTTAGTCTTCTCCAAGTTGGACAGACTGCCCAGTTTATATAGAGAAAAATAAAACAATACAAAGAGCAATAAAAACAATACAAAAGGCAATAGTTTTCTTTTTTGATGGGTTTCTATGGAAATTTAATTCCTGAATTCAGTTTTTGCATTCAATTATTTCTACAGTCAAGTAAGAGGAACATAATCCCTTATGACTTAGAATCAAACATACATTCGTAGTTATGAACAGAGATTCTGTTCTCTGCTTCTGTTAAAAACAGTTTTTTCTCAGAACACTAATTGTCATTTTCAAATGTTGATGCTCAATTTTCAATTCACTCTCCAAGAATTTAATGCCAAAGTATTTATTTGTTCATTTTAAGATATACATCTGAAGCAATTTCTCCCCTATTCCCAAGGATTTTAGGTGGCACTCCACACTGATTAGAATGATGAGTGCTGAGTACGTATAAATGAGCAGTAATCTAGTTAAAACCTGAGTTATATCTTTTGCTAGCTAGGAGATCACAGTGATCCCATCCTGCTTTCAGTATATGAATTAGTGCTGGTCTTTTACTTTTCTTCTAATACAGAATGTCTGTAGCAGTGGCAGTTTTAGTAAGAGAACATCTGATCTTCTGTGAGTGGGCTTATACCACTCTCTAATCTCTTTGGAAAAAATATTTCCTGTTCATCAGGTTTTGCAGCAATGCCACTAAAGAATAAAGCTTATTAACTGTAGAAAAGAGAGAATCAGCAACAATTATAATAAATTTTGAAGTTTTATACATTAGATAGAAAACAGTAAATGAGGCAGCAAATTGTCATCAGAACAGAAAGGACCAGTTATATCAAATCTTGGGTTTGACTCCATCCTTCCATTTCTTACTAACTTGCACTTCTGCACAATTCCCTGCTTACTCTTTCCTTTCTTCTGAAAATGCATATTTCCTGTAAGTCTTTTAAAGCTGCTTTGCTAAGTCCAATTTCAGTTTGACAGTTGGGAAGAGTATTTCTAAGGCACACTTGTTCAGTGGAAGTTGTCTCTAGTAATCCACCAGTGAAGGTGGTCCAGGATTTGTCTGGACATTGCCTCAATTGCAGTGTGTCTTTAATGACAGATCACAAATAGGGCAAGCTTTTGGTGGCAAACCTGGTGATGTTTGTATTTTCTTTGCCAATTTTTAGGATAATCCTTTTGACTTTTGATTACTGTGAATGAGGTGTCAGCAGATTATGAGCGAGAGCTGATCCATATGGAATGACATTTGTATTATTACAATTGACATTTCTATTATTACAATTTAAAAGGCTACAAATGGCACCTACCACTAATGGAAGCTCTCATTTCTACCTTTTAGGCTGACCAAATTTCTGGCTTTCACATAAGATCTGTTCTGTGTGTTCCTATATGGAACAGCACCCACCAAATAATTGGTAAGAACTTCTTCATAGCTGCGTAATTTCTGCTCTAATGTAAATTTCGTTCTGTCTTTTTAATTCTATGTTCCTTTTTCTTCTTTTTCCCAGCTGAATATTGTTATGAAGTTACGGTACCTAGGATGCATGCTAAGTATCCAAGAAGGGATGTTTTGACTTGGATACTGTATGGACTTTTTCAGCTTCCCAATTGTGTCATTGTTACATTATATATTGTACTGAAACTTTAATGAGATGAAAACAGAAGTTCAAACAATATTAGCAGAAAATGTTTGTTATGCTTTGATGATTTTTTTTGGGTCTCCCTCTTCAGTATACAACTCTGGCATTTGTTTCTGCAGTCAAGCAAAGTGGTCAGTTCCCTCTAATAATACACACAGTCAGGGAAGACTTACTGGAGGGGCTGTGGCAGCTGTCAGAGTTGCCTGTTGCAGTTGTGTTTGCTGAATCAGGATGTGACAGGATTTTATTGCATGGCTGATAAGATGCTTCCCAGCTATGCTACACCTGCAGTTGGTCCTGTGTTATTATTTTATATATTCCTGATTTTGGCACAAAAAGGAGCACCATTTGTAAATAACAGTGTCAGATTCTTCTGCTAACTTTCCACAGAAGAGCTGATGTCAACAGAATAGCAATTTAAACGCTCAGGGCAAGAGTTAGATGCCTGTGTGTTGTCGCTCTCAGTGAGAGCTGAGATCAGTAGTGCATTGCTGAAGGCACTTGGTGTCATGCAGGATTTGCTTCTTTAGGAGAGATGATATGAGAACTGAGTCCTTTAAAAATACATCTCATTGTTCGTTGTGAAGTGTGCATTATCTTAAAAAAGTAGAAAGAATCTGAACCCTTGACCACTGATGACTCTTGGAGTGTTTTTCTAAGGGCATATTGTAGCTAAATGAAATAGAATAGTTTGTTGCAGTAGAAATTAGTATTACTTCAGCCACAGACAAGAGCTTTGGCCACTTTTTCAAGTAATTTAAGGAAAATGCATTTTTTTTCCATTGGTTCAGTAAGTTAATGGACCAGTCATGAGTAAAAAAAAGAAAGACTTATATACTCAGGTGATGCTAAACCAATTAAGATTTTAGGAATGAAGGTACCGATTCAGCAAATTGTCCAAATTGCTAGGACAATTTAAGGATTGATGTTAGCAAAGTGCTCAAGTTCTTTCCCAAACAGATCTTTAACCTTTTGTGAAAAGCATTGTGAGTAACTTTTAGATTTGCAGTGTTGTACTAGAGAGTAAAGAATGACAGTTGAAAGTAACAAAACTGAATGCTGGCATCAAAACAATCAGCATGTTTATGGCTGTTTAATGTTTAATGAAGAAATATTTACAGTTTTGCTTTTCAGTTTGAAAGATGTATTTTGCATTTTACCAATGAATAAAATAGTCTGCATTGTGAATTAATGAATGAAGATTATAATTCATATTAACTCTTTCTAAAGGGGTAGCTCAAGTGTTGAACAGGCTTGATGGGAAATCCTTTGACGATGCTGACCAGCGACTGTTTGAAGTAAGAGACATTATGATTTTTAGCATGAACATATTTTTTCAGCAGGGTTTGGTATTTCTGGGTTTGATATTAATTCTGAGAACTCCTCGCTTCATAAGATTGCATCCTCATTAAAACAAGTTTCTTGCCTCTAATCTCTCTCATCTGGAGGCCAGTGATTTACCTGCATTCTTAAAATAACCTGTCTAAGCATGATTATTCCTAATATTTCCATGCAATTCCTTTTAGTGATTAAGCCAGCATTCATCTTTGTGTTTATATTAAAATTGATTTATAATTGACTTCCTTTTTTTCTCTTTTCCAATTTTAGGCTTTTGTTATTTTTTGTGGCCTGGGTATCAACAACACAATTATGTATGACCAAGTGAAGAAATCCTGGGCAAAACAGTCTGTGGCTCTTGATGTATGTGTACATCTTCATGAAACCTTTTCTTGCTCATAAGTGTCATATATAAAGGAGCTTAATGCTTCTGAATTTCCTGTAGCTAGCATAATTTTGTGTACCTACCTCTCTGCACCTTAAGAGTGTTGTCTTAATAAGGTAGTGCTGAAGGGAAACTTTCCCAGGGTACACTTAGCTGTAGAGCTCATGCATAGCTTAAGTAACTTTGAACCTGAATTATCTTGTGTGATGCCTCTGCTTTTTACATTAGAAGGTGGAACAGTGGTGATGGAGCACCTAGTTTCTTAGAGATGTGAGTGTAGGAATTAATCTAGGCATTATGTGTATTTCCTTGTCCATAGTGTTTGATATTTAGATAGTTTGTTGGGTTTTTTTCTAGTGATGTAAACAGGAAGTAAAACTTATTGTGAAGGACAAACATTTTTAAAAAGTGATCCTCATCAATAGGGTTTTTTAGTATCAAAAGTAACAACTGTTGATCCCTTATCTAGCTTTGCTAGAACAGAGTAAAAGCAGGATGGATGGCAGCTCAGGAAGTGCTCAGTAAGAGGTCTGCTGTGGTTCAAGGCCAATGCATAATGCAAGGTCCTGTCATTCCAACACATCATGTCTGTATATAAAATACATATAGAGGAGCTAAATGGATGGAAAGCTTTCTCTTTTTTTGCCTATTGCCTTTGTAGAAATTGCCTTTCCTGTTTCAGCTCCCCTCCATTCATGGTATCTACCAGCTCCTGTACAATAAACTATAAAATGCAAAACATTTCAAAAATCTATGATTATTTAAACTTCTATAAGCAGAGTCAAAAATAGCACTATTCTCTATTATAGCTTGGAGATTTTAAACATAATCATATTGAAAATAATCTTGGTGAGAACAAAGCTGGTGTTTCCAGTATAGCTTTACAAATTTATATTACTTCTACTAAAACAATAACTAAGAATGGTTTGAATTAAATTTCAGCTCTTTTAAAAGGCATTATGCAAGACTGATAAATCTTAAAACATTCCTCTGGTGAAAGAGTAGCATCACTGAGATTTCAGCATTGTTTTAAATTTCACATGTGATAATAAAATGATCTAGTTATCCCTGATATTTGTACCCTTTGCCTATGTAACACCTTTGAGTTTATACAGAACCCGTCATTGCAATAAGGACCACAGAAATAGCACTGGCCTGAATAAGATATGAATTTCTCTCCATTAAAACAAAAATCAAACCAAACTGGATTGCTATGAAAAAGGCTTTTTTTTCTTTGCTTTAGGGTTGGAGATATTAGTCTGTGTATTGAGGATCTATCCTGTGATGCATACAGACATGGTAAAGCATTTTGAAGTCAGTAAGACTCTTTGTGTAAGAAAACATTCGAAGCATAAGTGGCTTTATTTATTATTCCTCTATATGTATTCATTTAGAGGAGACATTAAAAACTTACCTTTTCAGGCCTCCTGCAAGATCCCTTATTCTTAGACATGAATTAGTATAAGCCCTCATATGTCCCAGATATTTGTGCAATATGAAGCCTTAGAATTAATACTTCTCCTGGCAAGAAAAACAAGCAGTGCCAGATATGACACTCAGATACACAGAGATAAAAGTTAACATAGAAGTTTGTTATTTGCTACTGAAATAAAATGAAATTAAAATTTCTTGGTTTAAAATACAGCTTGTAAAGTACTTTGTAACACATAGAGTAAAATATAGCTTGCATGTAGAGTATAGGTTTGATAAATGGCCACTATTCTTCAGTGAAGAATAATTCTTTCTCTAAATGAGCAACAGCACTTGATAATATTTGTATAAAGTCATGGAATATACAGCACAAAATACTGAACAGTAGAATGGTATAAGCTGAAGGACTGTGAATACATTTTTCAGTAATAGAATACTTCATTAGTATTTACGTATCAAACTTCAATGGCAATGAATGGCACTTGAAAATTACACTGATATCAGGTGTAAAATAAATCAGTTTGATATATACAATACAGTTTTTCATATAGAATTCTCACAAGAATGACTAATAACTATATTATTTGCTTAATATTTTTATATATTAATATGTGGAAAGTTGCATCTAAAATATATGTTATACATTTGCTATATTTTATTTATATATTTTATTTATATACAAATAAAATGACAAAAAAGACCAATATGTAAATAAATGATGGGGAAAGGTTGACAGCAGCATGAAAACCAGGCTAAATCTTATTTTTTATATTAAGGACACAAAATTTGCAAATTATTAAAAGATTAGAATAAGAAATTTAAGGAATACTGTAAAAATCTAGAGGGATATAACAAACACAAATAAAGGAGAAGCTTGAGGAGAATTTTGGTATTAAGTGTAATCTGCCATAGCAGAAGACAAAATTTTACTAATCTTCCCATTGTTTGAGAGAAGGTACAGTATGGCTGGATAGAAAAATAGATACTATTTGAGAAAGGATATGATGTATATGTAGTTACAGAAAGTAAAATGTGGGACAGAACAAATAAATAGGTGTCTGTTATTTATTTTTTTCTGGTGCAGGAAGGAATTCCTGTTAAAGGTGACATTTCTACAGCTGATGAGTAAATACATCTTGGGGTTTATTGCCACAAATTATTGCTAATCAGAGGCCTTTGAGATAGAGTATTTGTATGAGTAACAGAGACCTTCATAGCGGAAAACTATTTCAAGATGAGAAGCATATGTCAAAGCTTTAGCATGTGAGCAGATTGGGTGTTTCTGTGTGGTGAGGATGACCTGTCCTTGATGGAGAGTGATCAACCTCATGGACCAGTGCCTTGTCCCATGCACAGTCAGACCTTGGTGGGTACTGGACACAGGATGGCTCTTGAACCTTCTGGAGTGCTTGTTCAATGTTAGGATCATCACATAAGGATAGAATGTATTCTGTAGAAATGGATGCATACTTATAGGCAGTGAGAGGAGGTGTGCAGTACTTTGTGCATTTTATTTGATGCATGTTCTCTTCAATGGCATTGAAGAGGATGTCATGCATAGTATAGAGGTGCTGATGCAGTGATGTGCCACTTGTACAGGCATTAAAGCTTTACAGTATAGCAAAAGGCATTATTTAAAGTCTATAAATCTATACTGTTATTTTTACATTAACTTTGTTCTCTTTTGACTGTAGAACTCCAGGAGAACAATGTAGGAATCCTTCTAACATTAAACTACTTACTGTAACCTCTCTGGTTCAAATTGAAGGAGGGGAAATTTAGGCTAGATATTAGGAAAACGTTTTTCCTGTGAGAGTGGTGGGACACTGGCACAGGCTGCCCAGGGAAGTAGTGGCTGCCCCAACCCTGGCAGTGTTCAAAGCCAGGCTGGATGAGGCCTTAAGCAACCTGGTCTGGTGAGAGGTGTCCCTGCCCATGGCAGGGGATTGGGACTAGATGATCTGTAAGGTCCATTTGAACCCCTAAAATTCTATGATTCCCTATAAAATTCCCTGCAACATAAATGTCAAGTGTATACCTGATAACCTGCAATTAACTATTATAGGCTGTCATTCAGAACTGAATTACCACGCATAAATATTAATTAAATTTGTTTCAAACATAATTGATTAGACTGCAGTACAGAGTTCTGGTATTTCTGTTTGTCAAGTCTACAAAAATGGTTTTTTATCTTTTGTTCTGGGGCAGGTGTTGTCTTACCATGCAACATGTTCGAAGGCAGAAGTTGATAAATTTAAGGTAAGATTTAAGTTTCTGTTCTTCCCTCCATTGTAGTTATTGGTGTAGTTACCATGCGTTTGTAAACTGAAGATAAGATTATTGAATTATTGCTGGAATCAACATGCTAGAAGACCATTCCAACACTGTAGCCAGCAGAAAATACTTTTGTGTGTGTGATATGTTGTGTACTGTGTTTGGCAAAAAGAACACTGAACACTGTGTTGAAAGAGAGGAAAGAAAAGGATAAAGAACCATCAGTTTTTTATTTTGTTTTGTATTTTCATTCACCTTAGAGTCGGCACCTGTAATGTAGTTTCTATGACTGTCAAGATTCCACCAGTATCTGTGCACATACTTCTTGGTTGCTGTCAACCAGTGAAAGACAATTCTCCTTCATGGTCTATGTAATTGGAATAACAGCCTGCTATGTTATTCTTTGGACTTAGATGTTAATGTGATGAGAAGCTATTCTACTTCTTTTTCCCAGGTGACTTCATTAATAGATTTGCCAGTCTCCAAGTAAGAAATGTCTTGTCATTATCCATTTACCTTCAAGGCATGCAACTACCCATTAAATGGCTAATGACAAGGTAAAAGGAAATGAAAAGCATTTATTCATTAATAACCCTGAAAGATACATTTTTATAAAGAACACAGGTGAGAAAATAAGGAATATAACCAAAATTTTTCCCTTTCCTATATCAAGTTGTCTCACTTTCAATTCCTGACATAATGAGTTCCAGGTAGTCTTTGTTAGTGCTTTACACCACTGGATGTAAACAAAACAAAAGAACAAAAGCCCAGAAAGCCCCAGCATGTCTTCTGGGCCTGTGACACAGAGCTCATCCCCAGAGAGAGCCATCCATCTGTGGGATGAAATTACTCCCATCTCCCCACTTGCAGAGCTCTGGCAACCAGTCTCCCTGCTGAGGTCTCCTGAGGCATCCTGCCCTGAAACCACTGCTCTCCTCTCTGTTTGTTATATTGTTATATTTTGTATAAGCCCTTTGTTATATTAGGGTCATCTTCTAGACTTGACTGGCTAATAAACCATCCCTCCCTCTGGGGGTGTTTGGGGCTAAAGCTGTCCCCTCTCTCTTTGGCGATTTATTGGCAGATGTCAGAGGAAACGTCTGTTACAATTTACCCAATGTCCTACTTCAGTCAGAGTAGTAACACACACATGATAGAAACATCTAAATGAGAGTAATGCCAATAGTTCACTATTGGCTCCTGGCTGACACAAGACCCAACAGTAATTAATGACTTTGGAGTGACAATACATTTGAGTTGACAACTTTTCAGCATATTACCCCAAACATGCTCTAACTAGACCCCAGCAGCTTGGAAATAATTACATGTTCTTGCAGTACAAGTGATGTATTTCTCTCTTTGTCATCTTATTTTTTTTATAGCCTAAATAAAATGTTTTTCCATTAATTTTTATTTGCCGAAGATCTCAACAATATTCTGATAAAAAGTGAAAAATTGCAAGTGTACTTGAAGTTTATTTTTCCTGTGGCTTTTACCAGTGAATTAATTTTATTTCATTATAGAAAGCCTAGCATGACTAGTTGATTTTTCACTTGAATTTTTTTCAGTAGTTTCTTAGTGGAATTCACAAATTTACAAATTCACAAATATACCTGGTATCTTTTTAAGAACTAAACATAATCTCTGTGACCAGGTTCTGTAAAATAAATAACATTTATTTCTGTTTCTACTAATCCCATCTAAGAACTACTGAAAAAAACCCCCAAACAACTAACCCACCTTAATAAGAAACCTTTGAGAAATTAAATAGCTTTCTCCAGATGCTTGGCTGGGAAAATGTGCAGAGCACTAGTGGTTGTGGACCTGGAAAATACAGAGGGAAGCTCACAGTATGGAACAATGAAACATAAGTGTATGAAAATGGAGTGTATGAAAATGGACCATGTCATGCAGTTGGTCAATTCCGTATCTGGAATAGAAATCAGATATGGATTATTTTCACGAACAAAACAGCAACCTAGATTCACATTGAAGAGGATTTGCACATTTTTTAAGAGATTCCACTTGTGGTGTTACTAGAATATAACTTTCATAATAAAATCTGAAAACCAAGTTTAAAGGTGCTTGTATGACTAGAAATTGTTCTATTAATGAATCCATGGGTTTTTTTCTCAAAAGAGAATCCAGTTATGTGACTTATTACTGTAAAATCCGTGTCACCCGTCCTTTTTGTTCTTAGCACTTCAGCTAGCAGGCACACATTTCTCTGGAGGGCAGTGTGAGCAGGGCTGTGTGAGCTCAGATGCAGTGTGGGCTGGTGCTGCTCTGCTGACCTGGTTGGACCCACTCAGTCTGCTGCCTGCGGCCAGGGCAAGTGGGAGGGAAAACGCAAGCCTGAACCTAATGTGAGCTTGTTTTAGCGAAAAGAGAGGGGGCTTTAGCCCTCCAGGTAGACACAGGACTGCAGAGATCTAGATTCAGAGTTTCAGCAAATTCCTTAGTCTCTGCAGGTAATAATCTGGCCCCAGGGAAGGTGATTTCATCAGGACATTGCTGGCTTCACCTTTGTTTGGCATTGGTAAAGTTGCATAGACTGTTTCCTCTGCCACCTTCCCTCTATTGTTTCTTGGTAGCCAATCTTTTGCATTGTGTTTTCTGATAAAGCAACATCTCTGAATTTAAGATCCAATCCTCTTTTAATGCTAGTTTAAAATGTAGGTTAAGTGACAACTTGAGTTGTTGTGCAGTATAAAATAGGTCCTTTTCCCTGAAAACGTGGAGGTTTTAAAATGGGAGAAAACATGGAAGCTTAATTGATAGAGTTTCAGTAATAACAGGCAATTGAATGTGAATTAATGATTAATCAGAATTAATTTTCTGGTTTCTATGGTTATTCTTGTATTTGGAACATGGACTGTACTTCCAGGTTCTAAGAAAGAAGGTGAGGCTTTTGCGAACAATTTATAGGATTAAAACAAGAGCAAGGAAAACATACAATTTATAATAAGTATTCTATATAGACTATCGTTTTTCCTTTTTTTTGCTACTAAATATTTTTCAACTTTAGGGGTTTTTTTTAGATTTAGATTATGATGACTTCCAAAAAATTACTTCAATCCAATATGCTGTAAAATGCATACAAATTACATAAGACTTTTTAGGTTTTTTGATACATGTGCATTGCTGTGATAAGAGACATTTCTGATACTATTCTTCCAGATACAGGAAGAAAAACTATACTTTTCACAAACATTTGCAAGTAAAAGAAAAAGAAAATCCACCTGGAGTGCAAACTTTTCTTGCTTATCTGAGAATGTCTGGAGTCTTCAGCCTGATTTATCACTATGCTTCTCCTCACTTGCATCTACGTAACTATGCTAAATTCAGACTGAGTTTTGGCAGGATAAGCTAAAGTAATGCACCACTGAATCATGTCCATAGCTATAGTAATTTTATTTTTCAAGAAGTTAGGAATAGATCTGATTTTAAAAGCTGTGGCAACTCAATATTTCAGGCTAAAAAGACCATACTGTTTTTTCCCTCGTGTCCTAGTGCTAGTGCTTAGCTATAAGCATCTGTGTCATTGGAATAGAGAAATGTGAGACTAGTGAAGTCTGATTAATCTAAGAATGATGCTATCCTACAGCATCTTCCTGTAATGCCAGATTTCTTCTTATTGATATTCAGTCTCTCCAAGCCTAAAAATAGTTGTGTTTTAGACAAATATAGAAAGCTAAGATACATGAGTAAAGAATGCAGAATTGTGTCCAGGACAGGGTATTTATAGCAAGAGTTACTGACTTCTGTGACAGTAATGAACAAGTCCAGTGACATAGCAAACAGTCCCACAAACACACATCAACTTTAAATTTAACTAATAGAGTTTCCAAAGAGAATATGTAAACACTGTCCTATTATGGGTAATATACAAGAAGCTATTTTTAAGCAGCTAACCTAATTGCACAGCTGTGAATGGTATAAGCCATATCAATATTTAATGACTGTGATGCATTATTTATAGCCCTGTGAGAGATTCCTTTTTTTTTTAGGTCAAACATCACACATGAGAGATACACAGCAGAAAATAATCTATCACCTGCTTTTACAGAATCAATTCAAAATGTAGTGTGAATAACAATTCCTGCACTTCTCAATTTTGTGGCCTAAGGTATGGCTAGTTAAGACCTGCCTTCACATAGAAGAGGCTTTTGGGTCTCTCTTCAAAACATTCATTTAACTAAACAAAAATGGAAAGACTTGAACCAAAAATAGAAACAACTTTTAAGACTGCTACTGTATGTGACTACGTAAACAGCTGAATCCATGAAAGATGATGGATCTGAGTGAATTTGGTACTTGAAGTGAATTACATGTATGATTTAAAATGAATTTGTTATTCATGTCTTATGCACCCTGAAATGCTTAACAGTGGGCAGCACAGTGAAAAAGTTGAATTTTATGTCCTAATTTTATCTCCAATCTCTGTAAGGACTGGAAAGCATTCCTAGTCTGTGTTATTCTCTGCTCTGACACCACCTTTTAATTCAGAACTATTTTAGTTACTTTCATACTCTTGTAATTAAATCATTTGTAGTGGTTTATAATAATTACTTTCTAGTCTTCCCCAGTAATTAAATTTCAGATAGATGAGCTGCTCTTTGTGTTTCAGACCATTTATGAGATACTGCCATAGAATATGAGGGTTTTATGCATTGATGACAGTGCTGGTTCCATCTGTTTGGTACCATGGGTTTCCCAAGAACCAGAGACATGTAGTCACACTGCAAAGTCAGTATTACAAGCCATGGCCCCAGCCATGCCTATGGTGAAACATAGACAGTTCTGTGGAGACCTGCAGATCTGTCTAAGTGCATGAAGCTTCAATGTTTTCCACACTGTCCTCCAAGGCTAGTCACAGCAACTCTAGGACTCCACTTTGGCTGTCACAGGGTGTGCACTGGCACTGAGCTTTATCCCAATGCTATTCCAGATGCTCAAGTTTCACTGAGAATAGCAACAACAGG